AAAAAAAAATAAGAAAAATAAGTATAAAATAGAAGTAGATCAATTTTTCATACTGTTTGGACAATTTCAGAACATGTGACACGAAATTTTATAAAATGATAAGTTTACACTGTTTGTCTATATCAATGATATATACTTCTATGTTTCAAATCATAATTGGTATGAAAATATCTCTGACTTATTTCAATTGGATTGAAATTATCCTTAATCTTATCTATGGGCTTTACAATAGAAATTATTGGTGTGAAAATTAAAAATTAATTATATTTTGTAATATTATTTCAAGACGTTTAGTTCTTTTGATTTGCCACAACGTGGCGCTACTATTCTTGACTCTGTAGCGACCTCCATTCCAGCGACATTTGTTTGTCAACCGTCTCGTCGAAGAGTTCATTTCAGATAAATTTACGGCGCCAACTTTGTGAAACTCGAAAATAAGAAATCAATATTTTAACAAAATTACTAAGGAGATGTTTGTAAATAATTGTCAAGGATACATAACAAATTAACGAGGATATAAATAATAGTTGTAAAAGAGTTAATCGACATTCTACATTCTATAGTCTAAAGTCTAAAGTCTAGAGTCTAAAGTTATTATCAATTAAAAGTGTATAAATAGTTAATTAATTAATTTTTACTGTTCAATTAAATATTGTTAAGTAATAATTATTGAAAAAATAATATACGGCGACTTTATCATTTATCAATCATCGTACCTACATATCGAAATTCTCTGCACTTACGTGGGAAAAAAGTTACCGACAGATGGCGCCACCATGTCCATATTGAAACTCCTTGTATTTACGCGGGAAAAAAGTTACCGACAGATGGCGCCACTATGTCGATATCGAAATTCTCTGCACTTACGTGAAAAAAAATGAGAATACATTATTTTGAATTCGTATAAAACTTCAATAAAGTATGTTCAAATATGTTATTAATTTCTTGACAAAGTTGTAGCAGTAATTCCGTAGTGTACTACAGAATCCACGTGATAGTAGATATATAAACACAGGGTGTAGATGACTGTGATTCTTAAAAGAAATAAAGCTGCCTTATGTCGAACAAAAAACGATGTAGGAGAGATTGAAAGGGCAATTCAAATGCGAGCTCTCGAACGATTTGGACGAATCGCAACTCCTTCGAATGTACGTCAATCATATAATTTATCATACAAAATTATTCTGCAAATCTATTTTATACTTATTTTATATTAATTCTCGCACAATAAATACCATTTAAAAAAAGCATTTTAAGAAATATTAATTTCTTTTTAACATTCTACTGTATTTTTTTTTTCATTCAGAGTATCATGTAGAAAAAATTCAATCGTAAAAAAAGAAGAGATCCATTAAAAAAGTAGTGCACTTTTGTGAAAAATCATACTATACAATGATAGAACTTTTTAAACAATGTCTACTAAATTCGCATTTATTTATTGTGATTATTATAAGTACATACATATGTATGTTTGCTCGCGATAAAATGTCACCAGATTCAATTCAATAAATAATTTTAAACGATCGATTACTGCGCCCCCACGGTGATACACGCAATGTGATTCTCGAAATAATCGATATTTCTCACGATCGATTTTAAAGCACGAAGAATGGCGGAAGCAAGCACGCCTCGTCTGTGAAGCAGAAAATATTGCCCAGAAAGAAGTATCATCCAAAAATTCACAGGTAAAAATATAAGTTAATAGTTATTCGATTTGTGTCTGTGTTTTGAATTTTTGAGGATAAAATGTGTATTTTTGGCTTGAACTCAAGGTAAAGTTTAACCAAATAATTATTACATATAATTTTCAACAATTAAAGAAATAATAGCTAACTATTTCTATAATCTAAATGTTTAAATAGAACATACTGTGCAGAAAGTTATTTATAATTTATGTCAAAATTTAGTTTCAATTCTAACCAATACAGATATTGTAATCTTGTAATTGACTCATGTGTATATATATATATATATATATATACACATATTTTGCTACATGCTTTTACACGCACTTTTATTATAACATTTTCTATTTATTTGTTGATTCTTTAACTTCATACTGTAGTTCTTAGTAATTCTAATATTAAATTCAACAATAATTTATTAGGAATGTACGTATTTAATAGTTAAAATAATAATTTCGTTATATAATATAATAAAATTTCTCATTTCTCAGTTTAAAATATTAACAAGTTCTTATCAGGTGTGTGAATATTCATTCTCGCTTTTTGTTTAAAAATTTCT